GAGCTGCTGCCGCCCGGAGCTCCTCACAGCAGGCTTCTCGCACCGGGGAGCTGTTTCTGCCAAAGCTGAATAAGCCGTAGCGCACACGGATGTTCCAAAAGCTGGTGCGCGGCTGCTAACTCCAGCGGCATCCCGCTCGGGTAGTTTGTTCTAGAAACTTACGTGAAAACATCTCGCCGGAGCATCTGCACCTCTCAGCGCTGGCTCCTCACACGCTTCAAAAAGCGTAGGCTTTCCTTGCCAACATGCTTACACCTTACTTCCGTTTTAAAATGTTCTTCTCCTATCATTTCTGAATAGACTCTGTATCGTAACGAGTAGGGGAAGCTACCCGCTCAAACTAAACCTACGGAGAAGTACTTTCCCCCACGTCTTGCACACCCTGCCCAGCTCCACGCCGCCTACATCTGATGCGGGAAGGAGCAGGGCACGAGGCCGCTGCACCACCCGCGACAGCCAACAGCACTGACCTTGCATCACCGGCCTCGCCGGCGAGCAGCGGGGATGGTGACCTCCTGCACCAGCACGGAGAGCTGCATGACGGTCTGTCTGCAGCCTAAGCAACACCTGTCCAATTTACATCTGTACTTTTATGAATCTGAAAATTACTTACTAGCACTACCCCATAAACCTAGAATTAAAACCCCCAAAAACGCCATCAAATTCCCTTTCAAACATTTGCAATTTTTTTTTCCCCACTGGATAAATTTGTCTTTGTTGTCTTGAACGTGGATGATATTTATGGTAGAGTGTGCAAAGGAATGAGACAAAGATTGTCTACAATCGGTAGTATGTAATTAATTATGCATGCAGCTAACTAATCAAGGAAACGTCTAAGCGTGTTTACTTTTCAGTAATTCGAAGAGCATGACCATCCAAATGACTCAGCAGAAATAAGAATAAACCAGACAGAAACAAATAGAGATATCTTTTTCAGAGACAGTGACACAGGAATATGTGTGTTCACATATCCAGGTTCACAATTCACATACCGAACCACTGAGCAGTAAACCGTAGTGTGAATTCAGGCCTGTTAGTTATTCTTCAGCAACTCCCTTTTCAGAGACCCAGATCGCCTAAACTATAACTAACATTCCATATACTCACAACTTACATATCAACTTCCCTCTTCCTTAGACGGCAGCGAAACCATTTCAGGATTAGTTCGACAATTATAAACCAAATAATAAATATTTTGTCTTCTTGCACAAACCACACATGATAGGAACAGCTCAGTATTTGAGCCCACTTTAGTCCACTTAGTTTGACAACATTTCACACAAGGGGGGTGAAAAAGGGTGGGGCGCTTCATTTCACAGATTTCGATTCTTTTGTTTTCCCACACGATTATGCCTCACAACCCATCATCAGGAACTCAGGCTGACATCTCAATTGTCTGAGAAAAAGCAGCTGAGTAGAAATTAAAATGCCAATGGAATAAAACATGATTGTCATGAAACACTTTCCTGATGGATAAAAACTTCAACAGTTCAGGGAGTGTTCTATGAAAGAAAAAATACACAGATTCCTGTACGCCATTCCTGTATCTGCCACTGCCTTCATGCATGGGGTTTGGTAAACGTCTTTCAGACAAACCCAATGACAGCACCTGAATTTTTCATATGAAACTGAAAAGCACATAAAGCCCAGAAGGATCCAAATCTTAAAATGATTCAACAGTTTGGTGCTCCTTTCACACCTACCCTAGATCAAGACCCAAATCCTAGATGCCAGTCTTCCACTTCAGCCCTCAGCTCAGAAGTGCTGTCGATATATCTGCTGGGTACCTGCCAGTCTGGGCTACATCCAAACGGCAACACTTTCTTTTTAAACATAGCTGTGAGGAAATAAAAGGCTGTGGACAGCGTGCCATACCTTCCTCAGGACCACCGGTTCCACAGACTGCACGCTTACCCTGCAGGCAGGAGACCCATGTCTACTTCTTCCCTTCCCTGAGGCTGCACCTGCATCTTCTGACCACCAAGAGCGAGACCTATAGCTAACCGTCAGGGCGGTACGTTAGGCAGAGCACAGGGACATTTTCCGCTATTTCTGCTGAAGCTGCACCACTGTGAAAGGAGTTCAAGATTTGCTGAGCTCAGTAGGAAAAAATCTACCGTGGTTTATTGAGAGTGCATGAAGAGTCTCAGCAAGCAGTGAACAGGACACACGCTCCCCACTTGCTGGCAGAGCCCAAACCATCAGGCCAGAAACTCATACTCACGACTCCTCTCAGGCAAAGGCTCGGGGCTGCGAATCCTCAGCAAAGGTCATAAAACCTCAGAACAACAAGGAATAGGGGACACCCACGTTCTTTGTGTTGTCTAACGCTATGCAGCGCTCTATCCAGCATGCCGTTTTGGGGGACTGTATGCTAAGATGTCAAACTTACCCATAAGGAAACTGATTCTGATTTTCCAGGGATTCCAGGTTCTAGATGACATGAGAATGGCCAGATGGACACAGAATGGGTCTCAACACCAAGGCTGAAGCTTCCATTGCCCTCCTTGCCTCTGCTTCTTACAGTCATTGTACCCCATTCCCTCACCTGTACACACAGACTTAGTAATCTCTGGTATTTAGGAATATCCAGCAGAAAAGGGGCTCTAAAAAGGCTAAATCTAAGTAAATTAAAAAAAAAAAATTAAGATGGCATCAATGTTTTAGAAAGAAAATACTCTTCTGGAGTAATTTAGATGCACACTCTTAACAGGAGTCAAAACATTGTAGCAGAGGCTCAAATCACGCCTGCTTCCCACTGCTGGCAAACTTATCAGCTACAGAAACAGAAAGCCAGGAGTAACATTGACTGAAGCACTACAAGCCAAATTCTGGTCTCACTTACACTGTTGTGAATTTCCAATTTTCCCCCTCCATTTACTCCAAAATTTGTTCATAAAAAAGAAACATTTACCCCATGAGCACCACTAAATAGAAGTTGGAAGCAGCAGATTTCTCTTTTCTAATTACTGTAGATCCTTAAAACTGTTCCAGATGCTGAATAGCTAAGAAATGTCAAATACAACACCTGGTTATTCAGAGAGCTGCAGCTGTTTCCTCTGCAGACTACGTAACACATCGTTTCTTCCTTTTAAATAGTTTACACCGAGAGAAAGACCACAATGTAATTAGTAATATCACTCGGGATAAAAACCAAACTGCAGTTAGGTAAGGTCTGTTGTTAACCCCAGTGGTTTCCCATTAGCTCCACAGCAAGAGAGCCTCCAGACACCAGTTCTTGCCCATTTTTAACGTAGACATTTTCCTTATGGTCAGAAGCTTACTAAGGCTCCCTAGATTAGTTACTGAAACTCTTTCCTGTATCCACCCAATATGCTCTCCATGTCGCTAAACAGACCGAACATCTTTTACAGCCTTTTGCACAGGTTATCAGAATTACCTACACACTCACTGGATGCGTACATCTAAAATCTTGTCTGTGTAAGCATTAAATGAAAACATGCTGCGGGCAGGGGCAGAACTACATGACAGATAGGGACGTTCAATTACATTTTTCCTTCTTTGTCTTACTGTATACACAGAGCCGTCCCAATACGCTGGACCTAACAAAGAAAAAGACAACGCCCAACATTTTCGGAGTTGCAAGTAACCTCAAGAACATGCCAAGAACAATACTGCACCACAAATATTATTTTAACTCATCTCTGAAGTTCCTTATGAAAGTAACTGCTTCAGAAACAACAATTTTAAAAGTATCAGTAACATCACAGTATGACTTTGTTGGAAAGGGTTTGGAAAACAGATTTTAGGTACTCAGCACTACATTTTCATCTTTCTCCTTGGTAGTAGAAAGTCTGGAATTGATAAAATACTTCTTTTTACTGTAATGAATGGTCTTTCGGCAAGATGAGCATTTTCCACAGCCCCGCGGTTCTGGCTGGCTCTGTGTACTGAACGACAACCCACCACACATATGAGACCGAACTACTGATATCCCGGAACGTCAGACATAAACGCAGACTGTGCTGATCCCCGGTCCTGCAACACATATGACCTGTGAAATAAAACTATAATTAACTTAAGCTCAAACCATTTTTTTTCTATAAACCAAGTTTACATGTCTTAACTAATTGCACTGCTACCTAATACCATTTAAATCAGTATTCCATCAATGATGTTGGCAAACAAGCTTAAGTCTGATCGTAGCACCTTTTAATCTCTTAAAATAAAAATAACCAGTCAAGTAATTTCAAAAGCAGTATTTTATCACACTTCTAATTTCCAGCTATTACCACCACACTGTAGAAGCAGCCATTCCATTCAGATCCTGCTTTCCCATCAGCTCTTTCTACAGTTGGGACTCTTTCAAGATGCTTTCATGCTGGAGTGCACTACCAGAACTGAGAACAACTTAGTAAAGAAAAAGTCCTCAAATACTTAATAAAATGTTGCCACATCTCTAAGCAGGTTTAGAGAACAAGTCAAGGAACAGGCAAACCTTGTCTGGGTCAAGAGTAAAATCTTAGTCTTGCTATAATTGGGAGTAAATACAAGAGTCATTGTAATTACATTGTGACAGGCTGCTTCTGTACCTCTGATACCAGAAGCACTGCACTGGAAAAAAGGTTAAGTGTGGAGCAACGCATGGCTTAGTTTTAAAGAAAAGCGGGCTGCAAAAGGAAAGTTTACTTCTACCAAACCCAACCCCCTTGTCACAGGGAGGCTACAGTGACATTTAAGATTTCGCTGGTCCAACTGTTTTCGCAGTTGTCTAGAGTTTAAAAGCCTTGGGTCGGGTGGTTGTTTTTTAAGAAAACATGATGGCAAAACCCAACTGTCCAGCAGTCGCAGCTTTTACTGAAAAATCAAACAAAATTCAATGGCCAAAGGCTTGGGGTATTTTGCTGGTATCAAGTATCTGCTTTCTTTCAGAGGCGAAACTTTGGTGAATGTGAATTGACATCACATTCTGACATTCTCATTTCCCTGTTACAGTGATAACACAGAAAGCCAAAGATTTGCCATGCCATTTTATGTCCTTCGCTCTTTCAAACCAGAAGCCCAGCAGATGGGCAACGAGGAATTCAACAGAGGCCCAAATGCTCCCCAGCGCTGTTAACGATGATGCCTCTCTTCTACCCAGAGACACCACCAAGAAACCCAACTGGAAACCATAGGTGCTAAAGTACAATTTACGCTGACAGGTTTATAGCCTGGTAAAGATTGCATCAGCCTTTAAATCGATTATTTCCACTTGATAAATATTTTTACAATTGAAACTAGCTAGACCAAAACAAGTTTAGACTGTTGCATTGCCTAACTCCAGATGCCTTGACGCTTTAGCTGGTGTTTGGGGTCAGTCGGTTTGGTGTGTGTGGATCACAGATGTGGATTTACATAGTATCTGCTAAAAAAAATTCAAGGTTTATATTTTTGTTGTTCCTGTCTCTCTCTGGTGCTGCGTTACAGGGACATTTGGACCCTAAGTCAATTTCTTGCATTAATAACATTATCAGACTGAGAAAAGCTAAAGTTTTATAAAGGGGCTATAAGAGTGAATAAGGAATATATACCTACATGTTACCCATGGGAAAAAGACTCCTCAAGTCAACCAAAAATGTTACATGTTATGTGTCGCTTCAAACGAGGAAAATGGGAGAAACGCTCTTCAAAGGTACAAGAATACCTCAAAGAAACCCAAACAAACAAAACCCCAACAAAACCAAAATCAAACCAGAGGTAAATCCGTGAGCTGGACAGGAGATTCCTAATGACAGCAAAATTACAAAACATGCTGCTATTTTGGATAATAAATAAACAGAAGATCAGCAGTAGATAAAACTCAGCCCTTGAGAATAGGAAGGCTGATCCTGTGGAGCATTGAGTACCCTGGGGGAACCTGGATCTTTTAACATAAAAGCCAAAAGGAGATCTTTGGCAAAACAGCCTTGTATGTTGCCAACCTACCATAGAAATAATTGGAAATCTGATTTTTAATAGAGAGGACAGTCAAAAAAGCCTTCCAAAGGATGCTTTTTCTTGATGATGCACAGCACACAGAAGTCGGTCAACATTCCCATTCAACTGTGGGAAGTAAAAGCAGCGTCCGGGCCCTGAGCGCACCAGCAGACCTTACCTGCCCTGCACAACCTCAGGTGGGACCCCCAGCCCCTGCCCAAGAGCGCCATTTGCACTCAGTGCTGAGCCTCCTGTCCTTCCCTGAGTGATGCTGTAGGTGTACCTATGCGGTCCTTGCCCAGTCTACTGGATGGACCTTGGACCTTCACTGTAGGCTTTCCACCAGCCCTGTCTCTGGCCCTATCTGCCGCTGCTCCTGACGGGACTGCTTGGATGAAGCCCAGACCTGGTTCACCACCTTGTCTGGTCTGGGGCTGTTAATGGAGCCTGTTATCACCACCCCAACTTTGCCAACTTATTCAGACCTGGGTCACCTCTGGCTCGCGGCATGTCCCGGCTGGTGGAACAGCCCTGCTCTTGCTGTTCCCTGACTGTAGCTGCATTCAACAAATGAATTTGTCAGATGTTGCACACAGCCTCCCTCTGAAATTGGTGGGCTGCTAATGCAGGAAAGGTAGCTGCCGTTCACAGGAAAGGCTTTTAAGCACTCAAGAACTGGTTAAGGCTGGGTACTCCTTTTGAATCACACCTAATTTTCAAAGGGGTCCCACTCTATAGCCAGAAAGTGACAAAAATCTCTGCTTTGGAAAGCTCAGTCATTTGAACCGGTTTAACATTTATTCATCTCTATCACAGACAACAACTTCAGAAATACATACCGATACCGTAAAGACACCACATCTACAGAGATGAAAAAGCCTGCGTGAACAGAAAGATGATCAACTTTTAAGCACATTAGTTTCGTTAATTTAGCGGGACCACTCACTCGTTCACAAACGGGATTCTGCCACGCTATCGTTTTGCTCGTGTTAAAAGGAACCAGAAAGTGGTTAAGAAGTTAGAAACAAACTCCGAGCTCAGGCTCGGCTGAAACCCCTTTCCTGACAAACCGGCGGAGCGGGGCAGCACCTGCCTGCCTTGCCCGGTGAACCCCGCAGGGCCAGGGGGCCGC